TACTATACTATACTATACTATACTATACTATACTATACTATACTATACTATACTATACTATACTATACTATACTATACTATACTATACTATACTATACTATACACTATACACTATATACTATATACTATACTATACTATACTATACCTCACTTGCAACGCACGAGTTATTATTGAATAAATATAAATACACCATACATGCAATGTAGAATAGTTATTGTTATTTTGATATTACAACTTGGATACGCAGAAATGGACCTCCATCCTTAATTACTCGAAGTTCCCTTCACATTTGTCGTCAATTACCATGAATTGGATGTAACGTACATGAATAGATAGGCCGCCGATATGTGTTAATGTATATGATAAGCACCTGGAACGCGCCAGTGAAGATATTTCTAGGGGTTAAGTACTTGTCAGATGAACAAATAGACCGCCGATTAACAGGGAAAACAATACCCGGTGCCTGTGAACATATTTGATGAGTATGCACAATGGGACGTTGTGTCTTGTATTATAATTGACATATATAAACAGGTTGAAGTTTTATCCATGTAGCACTAGTAAACCTTATAAAATGGGTAACACCTATACCATGTTTAAGTTTAAAAGCCATATCGATTAAAGTTACTTTGTGAAAAAATCTCCTCAGCTTGGATGTTAGACTGTTATGATGTTATATGGAATTGATCTAAAACTTATCAAAATACACTTAATTGACACCGTAATGACACAGGAGATGTTTTATTAAAAATAAAAATGAGAGAAAAAAGATTGCTGTTACAGAAATATTCAATACGATGGTACATATGTATCACAGGAATTGTTCCCCGAACCAACCAGTGCTGTCCCATCAGTTCGTCTTATTGGCCACGTAAAATCTATTGTTTACAGAGGTGTGAATATTTCATTTCTTGTGAGTGGTTACTATTATGCAAACTGATATGCTGTATTAGCATATCAGAACGGATAAAATAACCCTCTGTAGGGAACAGAGTCATCACTTTGATCGATTTATCGACAAGAGAGCCTCGCAACGCAACTGACCAGCCGTACATTACTCTATCAAGACCATATCTATCAAGAATACTTTTATATCTCTGCACCGGTTTTTTATTCTATTTATTTATATTTACAGTGTTTTGATCTCAGTATATTACTGTACTAAATTTTCAATTCCACATTATTTATAGGATATCGCATTACTGCATCACTGTTTTTATATATTATTATTGGACGGTACTGCACTACTTGTATCTAGTCTACTTCACAGGTTGCTATACTTGACAAGATGAATACTAGACACCAAAGAACACGTCGTCCTGCGATTATTAAATGTCCATGTGTCAAATGTGGGCAGGAAGTTACAGCTAGGCAACAAGCGATGGAGTGTGATTGTGGTCGCTGGCAACATCGAAAGTGTGCAACTGGTAAGTTTTGTTCTTGTCTTCTCATATCAGTTCTAGTCTCGTATACTAGTATATCAGTTACATGTGAAGGTATATTTGAATGTATATATGTAATTTTTGGTTATTGTATATATTTATGCTTTATTCTAGGCATTACAGCAGCTTTTTACTCAGAAGCTATGAGACAAGGTACCAGTTTTGATTGGAAATGCACTCCTTGCATGATATCTGAAATACCACAGCCCGATAATGACGAGAGATCGATGATTGCATCGCCAACAAGCAATTCAGGTGATGATGTAAGTGTACTATTTTTAAATTGTTAATTTTCTTTTCTGTCTACTATGTTATATTGATATATCTAACACTGTAACAGACGTGTTCCAATCACCACATATAACCATCTCATTTTTTTGCAGAATGAAGTAATGGAGTCTACAAGACTAACAAATACTAGTTCGCCCCAACATCATGAACCAATGATGGTATCCATAGATGCGGATAACTACGCAGTCGGTAACGTTGAGCCTGTGGATGAACTGTCAACGGGAGACCCGCCCACTGAATCATACAGGTCTGACTATGCCGATGTACCCATCACATATACTAATGATGTAAGTGTATTATTTAAATTGTTAACTTTATTACCACCGTTTACAACATTGTATAGATATATCTGACACAATAACAATAGTGTTCACATATACCACATATAACCAACTTATAATCATATTTTTTGCAGAATGAAGTACTCGAGTCCACAAGACTGACAAATGTAAGCTCGCCCCAACAACATGGACCAGTCAACATATCTCTGTATGCGAATAATTACGCAATCGATAACGTCGAACGTGTAGAAGAGTTGTCAATTGGAGAGTCACCAATAGAATCCGACATATCAGACTGCACTGATGCACCCGTCACGTATGCTATTGTTGAAGGTTCAACAAAAAGAATGAAACCAAAGCTAATAGACTCTAATGGTTATACATATACAATGAAAAGAAAAACAAACAAAGGAATAATGTGGACGTAAGTTATAAAATATATTTGTGAGCCAAGTTTAATACTATTGTAATATAGTGATTATGTCGGCTAACTATAATTCTTTTCTTCTTATTTATAGTTGTCCTAAGCGAACTAAACAAATGTATTGTTTGGCATCAGTGGTTCAGCGAGGAGGAGATTTTAAACGTGGTGCACACGACCACCTTCACCCAGGACTTCCCGGTCAAGCAACTGTGGCGAAGGTATATTCGAGTATCAAATCCAACGCTTCAGAAAAAGTGTTCGAACCAGCAGGCGAAATTGTGGAGGATGCAATTAGAGAATTCGTAGGAGAAGAACCAGTGCCGACATTACCGTCGTTTGATTATCTAACAAGAACTACAAATAGATTCAGACAGAAGATGCGCCCAGACGAGCCATCACATCTCATGGATTTCGAAATAAACGAGGATTTCCTTCCGCCAGGTAATATACACAAACTTGTCATAAAACATATTGTTCTAAATATAACAATATTTGGGACAACGATTCACATTATTATATATAAATATACATTTTAATAGTGCTTAATCACGAAGACCACTTACTCATTTTTTCTTATGCTTTACAGATTTCATCCACAAAGATGTCGT